AAAAATATTCCCTAAATCGCGCGCGCGCGCTCGCGCGTTATTGCACCGCAGCAGTGGTGAGCAACAACATTTCGAGTAGTAGTAAAAAACAAGGTTCGAAAGGCTGCAGGCATACGAAAAGAGAGTTAAAAAAAATCACGCTTACCCAGCGTATCCTATACAAGCAACACGTGCGTTTTGCTTTATAGGCGCGCTCCAAGTGGTATAAAACAGCATGTATAGCAAAAAGTGAGCCAGGAGAGGGTAGGAGCGAGATCCCTTTTTCGCGGGGCCGATTAAAATTCTGGGCCTCTAGCTCATTCGCACGCGCATCAGGGTTCACTGTCCTGGGCCAAGGCCACTGATCGCTGCTGCTGCTGCGTATATATAGTATATGTTATACGTGCTGTATGTATACGAGAACGCGTGCAAGTACCGCCCCACTGAACCAATTGTGCAGCGTCTTTTTTCGAAAGAGAGAGAGAGAGAGGCAGCTCGACGCAGTAGTAGAATACTTTACTTATAAAACACACACGCATGCATGTGTGTGTATCAGACTAGGCTCGTTTTTGCATTCATACACACACGCACTCATAAATCGAGTCGCTCGCTCGCTCACGATATATAATATATCTGTCGCAGTAGTAGTAGTAGTAGCAGCAGCAGCAGCAGTAGCAGCAGTTTTTTTTTAAATGTATTTCACATGTGCATTGTACGCGAATAATTAACTGCCTCTGTGCTATTCGCGTATATAAATTTAGGCGAAAGAGGTGGGAGTCGAAAAAAGAAGGGGAGGGGGCGATTCGAAAATCAAGAGAGAGAGAGAGAGAGATGTATGTGCGTAGCATACAACTTTTACGCATACTACTACTGCTGCTGCTGCTGCTACTATGCTACAAGCGCTGCAGAGAGAGAGCGCACCCAAAAAAAAGGGGGAGAGTATTATGAGCGCGAGGTGATTGACCCTGGCCTTAGAAATTACATGCGAAAAATGCCGGTCTCTCAAGTCTGCTTCTCTCTCTCAGCCTATGTACGTATTTGTGTGTTATATTTTTGCCCAAGCGTATGTAGCTACTATTGCTACTGCATGACGACGGTTACGTATAACGTATTCTGCAGTGCTGTAAATAATGCACTTTAACGTATACGCGCGATCGGAGAGGCGTCTGATATATTTCTGAACCAAAATTCGACTTCGAACGATTAGATCGTCGTTATCTTTCAATTTCAACGCGCAGTATAATAATACCGAGATTCGCGCATAAGCGAGCATAGAACGTTCCTGTCGTCGAAATTTTTGTGGGGTGAACTTCCGACGTGGTGCGACAGTAATTGCGCGATCGCCGCGTATAGAGCACTCAGGGACGAACAATAACTCGATGAATATGGCCAAAAATGCTTTACAACTCTATATGAACGAGCGCAGACAGATAGACAAGCAGAGTCAGCTCGGGCATAAGGGCGTTGCACGGAATCCCGGGAAATGCGCGTCTATATCTCGTGCCGTATATACGCCAGTTATACGCAGTACACCATAGCTCCCTTTTTCCAATGCTACGGGGGTTGCGCGTTTTAGCTTTAAATGTGTGTGTGTGTGCGTGCTATACCGAGGGGCGATTGACCCAGACACCCCCTCCAATGCGGCGCGCACACATACGCACAGGAACGTGCATTAACTGCGCTACGCGAGTGTGCACGCACATATACAGTCCTGTCTTATATACAGCGACACAACTCGCAGACGAGCGATAAAGCGCGTTTATGTGTATGCGTGTATTAGGGCTGGCTTCCCATTCGCTGGTTGCTCTATGGGTCTCTTGTGTGCATGTGAATGTATGCGTGCGTGCTCCGACTGTACTCATTGTGAGCTGGAGGAGGATGTCGCTCGCGCCGCGCGGGAGAAAGTGAACGCGGAGTATAACACGATACATCGAGGAGTTCGCGACGCCACGAATGGAAAACGATAAATGTTATTATTGATAAATGTCGATTTTTCCTTGTTTTTACTTCAACGCACTGGCAGCCCCATATGTCTTTCCTCTCACTTACCATTTCGGATAACGGCCAAAGTTTGCCGCAGCTCGGGCACCTCTAAGTGTCAATAATTTAACGCGCAAACGATCCAAGTTTGCCGATTATCTCCTGTTTACCCGTTTTGTTTCTTTTCCGCATTGGTTTATTTTCAACAGCAGCTTGTTGTGCTGGATATCGCCTGAAAACAGGCCGTGGCCTATACCTCCACGAACAACTAGTTGTCGTCGTCGTCGCCAAAGGTCATTAACTTCCTCTCGCTCTCTTTCGATTCCACGTTGAAAAAAAAAAATGGAAACAAACGCGAAGCGATCCCGAGCATGGTAGGGGGAAAAAAAGAGTTCATGACAATACATGAAAAAATGCACGATGACTCTGGCCTTCGTCATTAGCATACTTGCGCACATATAAGCGCGTAAACGACCGAGGCGCTCCGCGCTATAAGCTCATACGAGGCTTTCCGAGTGGTGGCCAACAGCAACAACGAGTACAATAAAAAGCTGACTGAGAGAAAAAACCAGTTTGGCTTATATACGCGGGGTTGATGATAACAAGGGCAAATACATACATATATTTAACAATATGACACAACTTCGCTCTGTGTTTGTATGCGTATACGAGTGTTGCAAGCCTGACACCCAACGACTACGACACAAATCATCATTAGTCGAGACGATATCGTTGCAAACGTCGAAAATGTTTTCTAATGGATCATTTTTGCGTCGTTCTCTTTACAAGAACACCCTCAATGAGATAGTAAATGTTACCAAAAAATTATCTGCCTCGAAATTTTTGGATTCGATTTTTTGATACAAATGAAGAAATATTCAAAATTGTTGTCCAAAACTTTTTTTTTCAGATAATTTAAGCTATTTCTGAGAGAAAAATACTTCTGGTCATTTTCTCCGAAATATAAGCAATTCAAAGTGAAAATAATGTACGCCTTTACTTATATTATATTAGCTTGAGATTTAGTGTATTTGGTATGTAGATAGCAATTTTAACAGCTTCATCGAGTGTTACCATCAAGTTCTATTCATAGTGAACTCGAGGGGCACCTAACCTGATTTTTGCCATTTTTCACATTTTATCTTTGCCGCGTTGCAGTAGAATAAGTTCAAATTCTTCATGTAAACATTTTTTTATCGGCCATGTTTAGCTTAATTATTAAAGAGGAATTGTATCTTGTGAGAAGCTCGTATGGTGAAGTCTCGACGTATCCTAAGCGTCTTCGGAATTTTTTCGGTATTTTTCACACGACGAAGAAAAGTCCCAGGCTAATATTCAGCCTCGATGAATGAAAGAAAGAAATTACTATAGTAGACTCTTTACGCGACCGCGTGGTATTTAAAGCCATTATATTACTGTTTACTTTTGGCGACAGCAATGTAGGTACTTGGCTGCTGCTGGCGTTTGTCAACGTGCTCGCGACAACGTGTTGACTCAAAGAATTTTTATTCAATGAAATGATTTAATTACCAGCAGCCCATTACATATTACAGTATTGACGCTTTGCTCGCAAACTTCTATCGGATCAAAGCTTATCTTTTGATAAAATCCACAGATGAAGAGAATATAATGAGTTTCTTATTTCAAAATATCCCTATTCTTATATAGTAACAGTTACTTATAAAGTAACTTTGACTATGTTTTACCACTTAGAAATGCGCCATCTAGGTAGAAAATCGAAAACGGTGTTAAAAATTATATTCCTCTTGAAGATGGCCTCGTGATGAGTTTTAGTTTTTCATAATAAGAGTCTTGCGGTTGCTTTTAGTTATATTTATTAAACTACTACTTTTTAAAAAAAAAAACAAGTAGTCGTTTTTTTTAATTAATCGTTAAGCATCCCTTTATCAAGTCCCGTAACGTTTTTCCAAAGTTGCTAATGATAAAGCAACGTTATCAAACATCTTATGTTCTAACGAAGTAAATGATGCCAAAATTATCTATTAAAAATATTTCCCGACAATATCGCCTCGATTTCATGAACTTCTGTCTACATCTCTCTCCGGAAATACGATGCATCGTCGACGAATAATTGCGCTCGTGCGTTTGTTTTTTATGATTTGTATAATGCATCTTTGCAACCGTGACCATGGCACGACTGTCGACCTCGGTATGTCCCCAGAAAAGTCATTTGAACAAAAACAAATAAAAATCAATAATAATTCGGTGGACTACTCATAAGCCAATGTGCGCATATTTTCCTTCATCACGATGCGTCAGACTGTTGCACGCAAGTTATACTCGTATACAAAAGGGGCTGACCCATAGACATAGACTGCAGTTGATTGCCAGACCCCATAACACCCCCTTAGCTCGGCTCCATGTGCAATATACGCCGAGATAAGAATCGAGTCACGCAATGCGCCGCGCATAAAGATTCGGTGCGCTGCAGACATATATTTATTGCAAAGCTAACTTTATAAATCGCCGCCGCTACACGATCGTTACCGACTCCCATGCAAATGAACATAAAGCACCATACCGTATGTAATGATCGATTCAGCGAATGTTAAAGTCCCCGCTAATTGCGCTATTGTAACTAAGACTCTGAACCGTTTCATTTTAACGCCGAGTCGCGAAAATGTGTATCCTGCGCTCTCGCGGTGTATCGTGAAAAAATCGATACGTATAATATAGAAATTAGCAGACGTCGCAGCAGCACTTGCGACGAAATCTCGTCCCGGAGTGCCGTTCTTACGTGAGAAACCATTGGCCTATTATTGCCAGTCATAGGAAGAAAGAAAGAAAAACATGCAAATAAAACAAAAAATGTTTCGAATTTCAATTGGCGCAATTAGTACGATTGAACGACGTCTAATGGCACGCGTTGGATTTTGTGCTGGGAGATTTTTCTGGGGGAAGCTTCTTCGAGAATTTTTGGACTATATAAGCCGGGTTTTGAAATCATCGAATCATTCTCACTCAGGTAGTGCCTTCAGTGACTTTACCAAGGAACACATACAGTTCTCTTTTTCGCCACTATGAAAATGTTCATCGCAGTAAGTAGAAAAAAACGCACTTGTTGTATTTTACGAAGTTTATTTTTTCGAACCTAATCTCATTGTCAACAACTTGTTTTTTGCAGTCGATTCTCTTCTCTGCTCTGGCACTGAACGTGGCTCAGGGCAGCATCTTGCCAGCCGCCTACTACCACCCAGGCCACTACCATCCGGGTCACTACCATCCAGGTCACTATCATCCGGGCCACTATCACTTGGGCCTGATACAGCCCAGCACCTGGATCCAACACGTCCAGCTCGACCATTACGATCCACACCCCCAGTACTCGTTCAATTACGGAGTGGCCGACGAGACGACCGGCGACTTCAAGCAGCAGCACGAGACCCGCGACGGTGACCGCGTCGTCGGCAGCTACAGCCTCGTCGAGCCCGACGGCAGCAGACGCATCGTCGACTACACGGCCGACGACGTGCACGGCTTCAACGCAGTCGTCCGCAAGGAACCCGCCTTCGACAAGAAGATCGTCGCCGTAGTGGCCAATCACCAGCTCAACTCGCCGCTCGGCATCGCCGCCCTACCGGTTCAACAGCCGATTCTCGTGAGCAGCGGGGTTCAACAGCAACAACACCAGAAGCAGGACTAGACTCGCATCCCTTCGTTGTTTCATAGCCTTCATAGTTTAGTATATTATTACTGTGCATGTTCTCATTTCACAATTCATTTCATTTCATAATTCATAAATCATGTCATTTCATAAAATGAATTTTGTTCAATCGACTGACGACGTTAGTGTAAAATTTCATAAATATAATAAACATTAGTTATATACAAAAATTCTTACATTACTTTTAATTTTTTCCAATTCTTTACAAGTAAACGAATAGATCGCAAAACGTGTTCGTCGTGATTTAATAGCGCAGTTATTGCTGAAACTCCTCAGAGGCTCATTCGAGTCATTAAAACAGTCAAAAAACGCGATATTAATAATCGACTTGATATCGCAAAATTATGGTGCGGTGCACGGACGAGTCAATGGGCCATGCCCGAAACGAAGCGCCTCGAACGCGAAAGGACAATCCTTTGACGCTTGTATCAAACGGAAATCTTCATGGCGTCGACTCACGCGATCCAAGGTCTGCGTTTTAATTTCGACCGCGGGGTCGGTTTCACTATTAGGGCTGTGCGAGTATCCGATTTTTCAAGTTTTACTCGACTCGAACTCGGCGAGTCGAGTTCGAGTCGAGTTCGAGTCGAGTCGGGAAAATTCGAGTACTCGAGTTTTTTCGAATACTCGATTTTTTTTCGAATACTCGAGTTTTTCCGGGTACTCGAATTTTTTCGAGTAATCGATTTTTTTCGAGTACTCGCAATGTATTTAAATTTTAAGTAAATAAATGGTGAATCAACAGTCTCTAGACCCCTCTCGTTGTTTTTATATGCTTATAAGTGTGATATTCGCAGTGGCTAGAATTGGAAGAAGAAAATAATTTAATAGTACCACACCTCATCACACTTATAAGCATGTACACACAAAGAGAGGGGTCTAGAGACTGTTAATTCATCATTTGTTTACTTAAAACTTAAATATATTGTGAGTATTCGAAAAAACTCGAATACCCGAAAAACTCGAGTACTCGACAAAAACGCGAGTACTCAAAAAATCGAGTACTCGACTCGAACTCGAGGAAAAAACTCGAACTCGACGAGTCGAGTTTTTTCGAGTACTCGCACAGCCCTATTCACTATTAACTTTTTTTTCATTTCACACTGTGTATCATTTCGTTCGGTCGGGTTATATCGGAAGAGATACGATCAACTGACAGCGTATGAACAACATTCGTTATTGTATTAACTATTTCAGATAGCTACTGAGTATATCTTAAATATTGGGTAATAATTTTGCACATTCAAAAAATTTATAAAAGTTATAAAAGTTCTTACATTCGACTAAAAAAACATTGAATTTATCCAAACAAGAATAAAAATTAGTATACGTGAAATTTGAGAGACATCAGGTGATCGATCGACGAGACAGAATAATATGCCTGTACTTTTTAACGTCTACTTACACTTTGTCGGTTACACAGAAATTTAGGTTATCCGCAATAAGTAGTTTTACCACATGCACAAAGCTAAATTATGATTATTTTTAGCAGGTAGTGATAGGTTTAACTTTAAAACGTTAATTGTATACAGGTAATAAATACAAAACGTTAATTTTATAAAGGTATATATAAAAAAAATGTTTAAGGTTACCAACGATCGAAAATGTACATTTACCGATTTGGTGGACGTACTTGATTTGCCGTGCGAACGCCCAATTGTTATTATTCCCCGACATGCACTTCCAATAGAATCGATTACTTGAAATGAACAATTGCTATCGAAAAATAATATAAGTTCGAAAAACAAAAACTGGCGATTCTTATATCAACAACTGAATGCGGCCGACCGCGGATAAACTTAGCGCGCGACCGGGTACCGCTAGCGGGAGCCACCGCAGCGACAATTTCGGAGTCGCTTCAGCTTGCTCCAAGATTCTCGTCGTTGTAGCGTGCACGAGGAAGAGGCCGTTCGAATCAACATGCCGGCGCGCTGCACGCATTACGGAGCACGCACGAATCGCTTTGCCCCACACGCACACATGTAAACACGCAGCATGCGTAAATATGTGTATGGAAGAGGTCGAAGAGCGACATATGCGCTATTGTTTCGAAAAAATTTTATCTCATCGCTGCATCATAGAAAGTTTTACAACTGCGAGGCTGCAACGCCGGGCGCTAAGTCTATCGCTAGATTTCACGATAGACAGCTCGAAATTTTATTTCGAGGCGAGAATATGCTAGCGGCGGATATGGTGTGAAATGTGCGCCACGATGTGTGCGAGCGAGACAGCCTCACTCGCCGCCACCGCCATGCGTGTGCAGAGAGTCGTGCGCGCGCACCCGTGCGTATCTTCCGTCTCGCTCACGCCAACGAAGTTCGGCGATATGCAAGCCGCGCGCACAACTGCGAACTGGCCCGCATGCCGGCACGGAGCGACACGAGGCGCAGCTAAAACGTGGATTCCTCAATGTTACGCGCGCGCCCATACATGCCCGCATTAATACGCACGCACACACATATATACCTAGGCAAGGAACCTTTCGGCCGGCGAACGGGGCGTTCGAGATTTTTCGTATGCTCATGCTGCTGTGGCTGCTGCTGCCGTCTCGCGTACACATACACAGACACACAGTTATACATCCGCTCGCACACACACATACGTAAAAACATTGCTTCTCGCTGCCGTCGTCGTCGTCGCGCGCGTGGTGGCATGGACGATTAGAGCGAAGCGCCATATTGAGATACAGGCAAGTTCGACTCGGGTCGCTCTCGCGAACTTCTCTCAACTCTAAACACAAATAGTTGATAGTCGCTCGGTAAGCTTCGGTTCTCGGTGTCTGTCGTCGTTTACATACAACACGCAACACACCGTGTGCGAACTAAAATACACAATTAGACTACAACAACGCAGTATACTTACAGTGTCGCGTGGATTACAATACACGCATTTCGCGTTCGATTCGCCGCCGCGACCGAGAAGACGAAGAAGAAGGAAAAAAACAGGCAGCCAACTAGAGCTCTGTGTGGACTGTCGTTCGTCGAACGTCGGTTACGTGTGTCCCTGCAGCCGTTGTTCTGTCTTTTGCACATACGCGGATTTGCGTACATTATAATAAACATTTGAAGACAAGCTCGCGATTGAGCAAGTGCATCGCAACTCGCGCCCACCCCGCCTGTGTGTGTGTGAGTGTCGAACATTTTGTGCAAAAACTACATAGACATTTTCGGTTGGTGACACAAATCATTATCGCTCGGAATATCATCTTTCGATCATTGACAGGTATATTACGGTACAGTTCTACAGCAACAGCAATACGAGGAGAAACCCAAGAAGCTAAAGAAGTCCAAAGATTCTCTCGATTACGACTTGAGAATTTCGGTGCTTTCTACTTCAGTGTATTCATCACGATTGGCATCGTGCTTGCTAACCGGCAAACGCTCCTCGAACACGTCGCAAGGTAGGGTTAAGTATTCTTTTTCATTTGATCATCGCTTTCAACTCTGTGTATGTGCATGTCGTCTTGGCGAACGCGTGCGGTAATTTTCCGCCCAAGAGACTCTCTAATCTTTCGCGAGGCATTTTTCGACGTTTTCGGCGTGAATTTCGTAACCGACATTTTTATATTGCCGGGTTCCACATATATCACATGTCCGTAACGTGTGCTGCGGCCCCTCATGCTGCTCGCTGCGATCGGGGCGTCGTGTGTACATGTGTGCATGTGTGTGTCTGCGAGCAGCGAACATTTTGCAAGATACTATACAGTGAATGTGTGTGAGTGAGTAACTAAAAAGTTCACGATTCTATAATACGCACAATCACATGCGTGTTGCGGGTCTCATTCATTATAACTTCATTATGCATTTCATCGTCTCGCTTTGAACATTTGCTTTCGTTATCAATCACGTGCATTCCCGATTAAATCGCGTAATGGGGAAAAACGCCGATCCGTGGCGTCCATCGTATTTTGACTAGTCAAATCTCAACAAATGCACGGGAGGTGGCGGCTGGCCCTCATGTCAAGCGCGAGGTTTACGGGAACTATACATATAACGCCGTATACGCACACATACGCAAGTTCGCAACGGCCTTTCCCATCGTCGATGAAACGATTTGGTATCGCGGAAATTTCAATTAAATGCTCCAAACCCAGTGTCAGGCCGAATCGTTTGAATCATTATTTACTTATGTTTTCAAAAAACATGCCTTCGCGCGTAACACTACCGATGATTGTGTTCCACATCTTATGAGAAACTTCCATCTTTCTGCTATATCTACGAACATAATGGGGCAGATGTTTTTTTCACTCTCGGCCCCGAGAGAGCCTTCTTTTTGACGCGTACACGAGAAAGAGAGCAAACGAATTTCATCGTAAACACTTCTCCGAAAAACGAGTCTGTGTGTTTGTTAGTGTGCTCACACGCTCGTGCATGTGTGTGTGTATGTGTTGGTATACGTATGATTTTGACACGCCATTCCAAAACCTCCATCGTTGGGCTTATACGCCGTATTATAAAAAAGAAAAAATCAAGATCCCAAACCGTAGAATTTGACAGAGCGGGGGCAGAGGCGGCCTTACGTAAAAATTTAAAGAACGAGCGCCGAAGCCACACGCCGATGTTATGTCGTATTACACACTTTTCTCTCTCTGGCTAATTTGCCCAAGTGCTGCTTTGGATATCGCGCACTAGTGTGCAGAGATTATTTTTGGTGACACTGCGCTAAAGTGTGCGAAAATAGCTGCTACTGCTGCTGCCGAGCGCGTGTGTGTCCATGGCTTGTTATACCTACAGCCCTATGGCGTTGCGCGGCTATTCTCGCCTCGCACACTAGCATGATTTATAATGTTGTAGCGCTTGAAACTCGTTTTTCCTCCATTTTCCACGCAAGTCAATGGCTAAAAGCAAATAAAAAATATCTCTCATCGAGCCGAAATTTTTAATTATTCTCACATATTTTTTTCCCGATTCGAAAGGTCAGGAGCGCTAGAGAAAGATTACACATTGTCGATCGGAGCGCGAAAAATGCGTTCGAGTGCTGCCGCGTGTGCCGTAATGCACGATACATTCGGCCGATAAAGTTTATAAATGTGCGCGCGCTTCCCACTGATTACATCGATATCGTCATCGTAAATACACATTTTTCATATTGTGTCTCTCATGCACTGCTGATTACTTACTAAGACCTTTGAGCGCTTCGGCTATCGGAATCAATTGGTGGAAAAACGACCGAGTTTTTATAATGGTCTACCAAATAGTTTGAGTCCTGCGTGTTTGGCGTGAGAAAAGCAGCAGTTAGTGAAATTCGAGTATCTCTACATCCGCATGCTGCAATGTCTTCCTCTTTTTTTCCTCGCTCTTCGGCATGTGTACGCATTTAAAAGTTTCCATTGTCAATATTTCTCTCTGCTAAGATAGAGCTGGCGTACAGCTGGTCTAGGAAAGAAGCGGAGACAGAAAAAAACCGGGCCCTTTAAAATAGACAGCCCCCCTTGCAATCGACGGTCGCGAAGGGTGAAAATGTGACGCTTCATTACTTGTTATTCATAATTATGCTGGAATTAGAAGAGGGTATAGGAATTTCCAATTTTCCCCCTTGTTTTGACGAAAGACACACTCTTGCATGTGTATTGGTTGATTATTGCTCGCGTTTCAAAATGTCTTGAGGTTTTTTGACGTAATTTTTCTGAAAAGCTTGATTTATTTATATGTTTTAAGCACAATTAATAAAATTTATTGTTTTCACTTCGCACAGTAGTTGTATAAAAATTTCATCGACTCATCGAACGGAAAACAGATTTGGAGCTCGAATTGATAAGCTAATAATGTATGCCGCTCATATGTTGATACGTAATATGACATTATCAGTAACTAGAAACAAAGTATTAAAAAAAACTTCATATTACGCTTCGATTGGTATTATAAATGTATTTTTGTAGTGCTTGTGGCATGAAATAAATTCCACAAAATATTTCTAAAAATTACACGACTTTGTAAACTAATTTCAAGTACAAGTCAGAGTAATTTTTTTGTATCTTCTAAATGATTTTAATGACTATCAACAAGTCATAATTCAGGCTGTATACCCTTAAAGTGTTTGTAAATTAAAAATAGAGGTCAGCTTACAATACGTTAATAACACTGCACAAATTTTCTCTTCGTACGTCCATAAGTAAGGAGAAAGATCTTTGATTTATCAACATTGTAAATATACGCGCATAAACAAAACAAAAAGCCCGCGAAAATGCTCGATTTTTTGCTGCTTTTATATTGTCACGTAAATATCGTTTTGGTGACCACTGATAAGGTGCGACATATTTTCCTGACAGCATGTGTGTGTACATAATACTTTTTCTATTGTTCGGAGTGAACGTAAACACACATCTATGTCATAAATGCCGTATATACTTCTGATTCTTTTTCATGGCAAAGCGAAATTCAAGTAACTGAGTGTGATTGCGAAATTATGAACGTCGGTGTAATTGAAGCTGGCTGTGTGCAGCGCGCGTGATTTTAGAAATTTTTGATAAAGTGCCACTTGTGTGACAGAAACTCTGCGCATTAAATGTTGACAATCGTTCCATTCAAAAAGATAATTGAATTGTCACTTCGGTGTAATCATTACGAGCATTATTATAGGCGCAAAATGGTAGTTATGTTACAAATAGATCGATACAACATCAATCTGTTAAATGTATCGTTCAACGAAATAAACAGTAAATGAAAGTCGATCTTTTTTCTATTTATACAAAAATAACTTCACCGTATCTTAACTTATCGTTATGATATCGATATACCATTGCCACTTCGTATTTTTTGACAGTTAAACTCTTCACGAGATGTTCTTTCGATCGTTCCCCTCTGTATATACTGTACAGGCTGTGAATGCTCATCTATCCTCTGACTTTCACTCGTTTTTTAAACTCATCCATGTACCAGTATACGATAAAAATATCCCCTTCCACAGACCGGGAAACGTACTACTTTGTGTAACGGTCACGCCTTCATAATGAAAATTCATTAATTTAAAAAACGCCAATGAGTAGCACATCACTTTATCGAATGAATTTTGTGTTTGATCACGAGAGGTGAGCGTGAATACGTTGGGTATACTGTTTTTTCCCGCTTGCTGTGTTTTAAACCCCGCTTCAATACGCTTTTGTCTAAAAATTTTCGGATGATGAATGGCAGTTATCTATTAACTATGTAATGTTTTGACATTGTATAACTTTGTTTTCGTACCGGAAACGTGGATTTGCCTAAAACGAGATAATTTACTCGCTGTGAGTTCCGTCCGATAACATCATCTCGAAATCGAGAAAAAAAATAATAATAATAATGAAGGCCTCATGGCGGCCCCAGAAGTTCCGAAATTTGAAATTTATCTCTCAATAAGCACGAGCGGACACACCGCTGATATACTCGTTTTACTCGTACATAAGGACACGATGCACTCTCGCTCCCTCCATTCAGGCTTGCGGCGATCGCACGATACTATACACCTGCAGCAGTGAATCTGCGCCATCGGCATCTCCCCGACACGCTAACGCTGCTGCTGCTGTACAATGCATGCGCGTGTAGCGGCGTGGCGCGCATATGGATACAGTGACGAGTTTTGCTCACACACACTGTAATATTTTTTCCGTACGTTTCGTAAAGAACGCAAGAGGAAAAGTGCCAACAATGCATTCGAACGACAATAATAGTAATAATTTCCTTTTGCGGTGACAAGTCGCGCGCGCGCAAATCGCTCGATGCGCGCGTAAAACTAATAATGGAAAAAAATGTCGCGAATGCATAATATCCCGCATGTTTGCGATGAAAATAAAAAATTTTCCATAGCAATGATATTGGGCAAAGAAAAAGGTGTCATGTCGAATTGAATAAAATAATAAAACAGACATCTAAGTCACGTGTCAGGACTTGGACAAATTTTTTCTGTTTTTGTTTTTGTTTCTCTTTTTAAACGCCACCAATTTTACGGCTTAATAACGAGGAAAAAAGTTGCTAAGTAATCGCCCAGTAACTATAATTGGTCCTCTTACACCGTGACAATTTACAGGCTGTACCGAGTACTCGGTGAGTCGTGCTAATTATTGCCCCGAGTGCTATTGGGGAATAGTTATATTTACACTGTATATAGATGTACAAAATACCGATTCTCCAATGTACATATACCACTTATATTTTAGTTGAGTAATCCAATACATGTGCTCATACCTTCCTAAAACACTAGGGCGATGACATAAGTATTCTAACGTAATAGAAAAACAAACTCGCGCGTCATGTTCAAATCGGAGCAGGTACCTTAAAAAAGTAAAGGTTTCATGGTGCGCGTAATAGTTATTCCAGTATTATAAATGCACCGGGTGAACCCCTCATTCTCTTTTCTCTCTCTTTCTTCTTCTTTCTCTTTCTTGCCCTTCTCCGTGTTGTGAAGGAATCTTTCCCGAGACATACCGATAAACCTGCCGGTCGCGTCATTCCTCCGCGAGTTTGTTTATCTTTTTTTGTAAAAATAAGAATAAAAAGCCCGCCGTGTATTACAGTCACGATATGCAGGTATTCATGTCGCGTTGGGCTCGACGTATAATATGAGAGGCGATGGTCGCTGCTGCGCTGCCTTCCATCCAACGCTTCGCGCCTGCGCGAGACTAGCTCCATTCCTATACTTAATACTCCCACTTTTCACATACACGCACCAACACTACCGCGAATCTTCCAAGACCAGCGAAGAGTAGTCCGTGCTTAGCGGAATATCATACAGGCAGACACACGAGTGCGCATCTCTGAGTTCTGGCGCTTCGCGCATACACGTGCCGCCTTGTACAGCACAGCGTTGTAGTAATACCGGTAAAAGCCGCACATATTTCGTCTCCTGTGACGATTTAGATTTTTCCAGTCGGCTCCGCAGTTTGGTACATTGATCCGTACAGTTCGCGTCTATCGCCATTGTGACTCGGGTACTTTCACACCGAAGAGTGTTGAAGTATATTTTAATCAACGGACTTGATCAGCACACCAGTTACCTTGTTGACGTCGAACAGCAGTTAACACGGCTGTGCTTGTCACTTCATTCATCTTGACAACAGTATTTTAATTCCATTTTATACAACTCGACAATAGACATGGCTTCGGTAAGTTGCATTCTTCCCTCTGTTAAAAGTATCATTCGTAATTTTGCATCTCACCGGCGAGATATTCGTTACCATATGTGCCGCGCGAATTCGCGAATTGTCGCGCGGTTTGCAGATATACGCTGGTATATACGTTGGCGGTCGCGGCGACTCACAGCACATGGCAATAGCGAATACGTACGATTTTTTTACTGTCTCTCGCTAGAGCACGAGCGACTTGCGCAGAAGCTCGCTCACAGAAAAATCCAGAACTACGCGATCGCGCGACATAGTTTTAATCCCGCACATAATGATTATGTTAAAAAAATCCGTATTGTAGAGGTGCTGGGTGTCTGTCGCCTGAATATATTCGAGAGATCTTGGTATAGTCATTGCGCTGGACGCTGCTTCTACTTACACATCTCTCTTTCTCTCTTGCGCGCGCTGGCGCGCGCTCTTTCTCTCTCTCTTTCAGTGTTTCCGTAGATGAATTTTTGTCTCACAGCAAGGAGGAATTATTTTGGATTCATTTAATTTTTACGCTGCACACCACACCATGGTAACGTGTCATCTACTTGTTTACGTTAGCAAAAATATTATTCTTATTGATTACTGCTGTTGATTTTTTTTCGCAATGGTACAGTTTTTACCGACTCTCGAAAGTGTATGGAAATTACTTTTTTTTTTTGAAATTCGAATGGGCCATCCGATACGCGTCCATGTTTGAGAGTTCGTAAGTGTGTGTGGCCTCCCAAATTTACGCGGTATATGCGTGATCTTGAATGCGCAATGTGTATCATAAAATTACAAAATTAATTCTGCTCGTTGACGTTACGCCACACTCCACCTGTATCAATAAAAAATATACTCGCGTTTTTTTAACGTTTTTGACGCTTCACGACTCTAAGTAATTTAACGAGTAATAAACTCGAAATTTTTATTTCTAGCAAGTGTGTAGAATCGAGTACGTGTTCTGGAATGCATTCGACTCGACTATTTTTAGATGGGCACGAATTTTTTTTCGTTAGATTCTGAGAGAAATTTCGAGGATGTCTCCTACATGAAACTTTCATAAAAGAGACGAAAGTCTTGGTGTTCCTTTTTTTTTTATACCCGATTAATCTCTATTTACTTTTCTTATCTCGAAATTAGATAAAATGTAGCGGACGGTTCTCTTCGAAGATACGACCAACAGCGGCTGGAACCATTGAAAATTAACCTCAGATCAGACTCCCACGTGTTGCGCGCGCGCCAATAAAAAATACTCTCGTTCGAAGAGAGTTATAAGTTCACACGTGCGACTCTCTTTGATGATAGGCATCATTTGCATATGAGCTTCTTTTTTCCCTCGCTCATCTACGAAGCGGGCGTGCGCATTGATACATGTTTTTTTTTCTTCTCTTCTCTCGTCTATCGTTATACGTTAAACGGTTTCGATCTGTGGCAAGACTTAGTGCCACTGTATCAAGCGATAAAAGTGTAATTGAAAATTTAATTAATAATCGCTGGAAATGAAAATTTATGCAATAATATATCATGAAAATGGGATCTAATGTATTAACGGTTTTTTTGTTTTTGCACTTTTCCAGACTAGGAATTCCGTTCTTGTTGCTGCTTTTGACAACCGTGGCAAACGATCATGCTTGTCCAAGAAGCTCAACTTCTAAGGTGGAGTTTGCCAGCGTTCGCCCTGATCGTCGGACTATATTGGTTCAAGCGTCGTCGAATCGACCGAGCTGATCCAGGCGGTACTATCAGCACCAGCGAGTGCCAAGAAGAACAGGACTCGACCAAACGTGAAAGTACTCCGATTACCTCGACGCCCTCGGCTCCTTGCAGTGCTCAAAAATCCTCTGACTCCGGTATACACACCGACGACTCTTTCGATTCCCCAAAGAACTCACTTGACGCAATCGAGCAGATGTAAGTTTGTTCAAATTATTTAATGATTTACCTATTACTTTTACCGATAGCTTCCTGAAAATATGTCATGTACTTGTATTTTTCAATGTAAAACTTTTTTCCGAACAGACTTCCTCTGCGCAAAGTGAGCTCATCCATGGACATACCAAATCGCAAATCCTCAGCCTCTCAGTGCGCTTCGATCTTGTCTCACGCATCAATGGAACTCAACAATTCGTATTGGAACGAGGATGACACTCCGGTAGAAGAGAGCATCTACGGCAGCAGACCGAGTGAGAATAATGGCTTCGATTTGTTGGCAAAGTGTCAATTGCCCAACGGATTGAACAATTCAACAGGCTCGGTCATCAAAGAAGAAGAGGTCATCAGTGACAGCGATTCTGTCAAAATCATCGTTCCGGTTGGCAAGCCTGAAATACACGAGTTTCAGGATTCAGCAGATAAAACTGAATCGCAGGCCCTAAACAAGCCTGAAGAAGCTGAAAAATCGGATAAAGTTGAGCCAAGTATTGAAAAACAAACAGCTGAAGACAGTGAAAAAACAGAAGCTGCCGAAGCGACTGAAAAAGCTGAGGAGACTGAGGAAGTCAAAGTTGTCGAAGTGAATGAAAACACCGAAGAAACTAAAGAAGCCGATGCTGCTGAAATCGAGGAAATTCAAAGAGCAGAAGATGCATCACAAAACGAAAATGGTGCTGCTAAGACCCCGATTATAATTGTCACAACGGAGCGCGATTCGGCCAATCATAGTCCAGTTTCAGGGGCTCTTGATGGTAGCAGCGACGCCAACGATGATATTGAAAGCGAAGGTAGCAATGACAGCGGCAGAGGGGGTAGCATTAAAGAAAATAAGAAAAGTCTGGAAAAAAGAGTCTTCATTTTCCAAGTACCTCTGGAATTAGTTGGACGACTCATTGGTCGCGGTGGCGTATTCCTTAAAGAAGTTCGCAGAGAATGCAATGTCAGTATGGTGATCAGACAAACAAACAATGACACTGAATACAGAATGTGCAGTTTATGTGGAACACCTCAACAAATCGAAAATGCACTCCTTAAAATCAGAAAATACTTCCCATTAGATCATTATCCTAATTTCACGATGGAGCAGTGCCTTCCCATCGACCCGAAAAAACCCGAAAACTGCTTGCCGTGTATGTTATTGCCACAAATGACTGAATTGAGCCTTGTCGAAGGTATTACTAACGATGTCGTTGTGTGCCACATCGTTGCACCTAATCATCTGTTTCTTCAAATGCCAACACATCCAACGTTCCCAGCTCTGCGATCCCTCGATCAGCAAATTAACAAAGTCTACAATACTAGCGAAGCACCAGCAGCGCCAAAAGAACTTGAACGTAAGTATCTGCGTAATACTAAGTTTTTAAACTTATTTTAGATATTAAATATTATTTTACGTGATGTCTACATTGTAGAAAGTAGTGGACTTAATGAGTATTGCAAGACAACTATATAACTGATAAAATTTAGAAAAGAAATCATGTAACATCATTTTTGCAAATCACATTACTGACCAATTGATTAATTATGTTTCAGCTAACATGGTCTTAGTTGCTAAAGTTAACGGTAGATGGGTCAGAGTGATAGTAGTTGAAGTAAATCCAGATAATTCATGTCGTGCTCGTATTGTTGATTTTGGCGGATTTGCATACTTCCAAAATGATGAATTGAAGGCAATGCGTTCCGATTTTGCCGCGTTGCCTTGTCAGGCAATTGAAGTTTTTCTAGCCAACGTCGTCCCCAAAAATGGTGAATGGAAACAGGAAGCATACGATATCGTTTCGACAATTACTTCCAACAGTATAGGCTATGCACACATTGCAGCTTACATGCAACACTACACTCTGGTCAATTTATATTACGACTTCAATAGACAAGTGGTAAGTTGAAAATAAGTAATTTATGCGAATGATTTCTCGATAAATAATTTTAATGATGATTTTCTAATGAAAGTAGTGGACTGAGAAAACTTGATTGACAAATTTTCTATCTGATATTCTGAATTTCATTATTATTAAAAATTTAATCTTTTACATTTTTTACTAATCATTTTTTTCTCTTGATTCACAGGTCATTTCGTTAGGTGATGAATTAGTCGCTCGAGGACTTGCAGACACAACTCCCTCATATGTTAGCGCATGAAAAATGTAACAGTATCGAAAGAATTCTTTTACAATAAAGAAACGAATACATAAACGACGATTGAACAGGGTTGAAGAGTTGAATTTGAGGTAAAGCATTATTGAAATTTGTCCGAATAATCATCATTAGTCATTTATATATACGATATACGATATCTTTAGTAACAGAATATTTTTGATGCTCTTTAAATGAATTGATCCGAATTTGAAGTTGATTTTTGATGCCCCTAATACAACATATACCTTTTATTAATACAGTTGTACTGTATTTGGTTTATGATCAAACTTCACTCATTTATTAAAAAAAGCATTAATACGAATGTATTATATGCCAGATATTGTCTATATTTTTATATAAATTTTCGAAAGTGCACAGAGAATAACATAAATGAAATTATTAAAAAATCTTGAACAATATAATCGGATGGGATTCGCACTAAATCAATAGCATATTGATAAATCAATCATATTTAAAACGTATAAATTAAATGATTAATTTATCTATTCACATTAATGCATTGATTTATTCCACTTTTCGGAAGGTGAAAAGTAAACTGTTTATATGCTAAAGGTATCGTGACGAATTGAATTAATAACATGGATTTATAAAGAATGATGTATAAGTATGATTTTAGCCTATGCTCTTTATGATCATAAAATATAATTGATAATAATGATTTCTTTGTTGACAATTTTTTCAAATCAAATGAAAGATTCAACTACGAGTTGATGTTATCACTTGAATCACTACATTTGTATTTAAAAAAATAACAACAAAAAGAGTGGTTCGAATAATTTCTACTGAAAAATGAAGTTTCTATATATCATATATAAACAATCTTATTGACAAATTGCGATATTTGGGAATTGATTTCAATAGTACCTCATCAATCAGTGTAAATAGTGTATCATTATACTTTCGACATTATTATTTGTGTTTCTACACTAATTATTTATTATGTTAAATTCGAGTACCAGATATGTGCGTTCATTTCATAACGAAGTAAAATTCAAGTCAAAAAAGTTACGAAATGATTACTACATCAAGCAGTATATAAAAATGTGTTTCTTAAAATCTTGAGTTTTATAATTATGAATTAATTTCATTTTAGCAACGTAATTTTGTATTATACTTATAAATTTTTCATCGGTCGATGAAAAAACGGAAAAATTTATGATTATAAAGTAAAAAATTGAGCTTTGAAAAACATTGTTGTACTTGTATCTGTAAAAAAAGGTTACTCATTTTTGCATTTCAAATACAAATTTGTCTTTTTTTATGTATACAAATACAAATATGAATTATGGCTGATAATATGCTCTATTGATTAGGGATTACAATAACATACAATTTATAGTTGTATCGTTATAGTACACATTGATGGTTTCTGCAATTAGAGTGTAACTAGATTTTTCTAGATACACTCTACACTTGGTTTTTACATTACTAGCTATTGGAAAAGTAAATATTTTCTCAATTTTTATATTATTTATTATAAATAAAAAATTTATAAAAAAATGTATTTTAAGAATTAGCAATGAATTGTAAAATCAAACTATTATAAAACAGAATTTCCGAAACGTTATTTTGTATATTGATAATAAATATTAAAACTAGTTACCTTGTATTTTTTTGTTCAAAATTTTTATTCAGCTGATGTAATTCATTTTCAAAGCTTTCGTAATATTGACTGATAAATGTATATTATACATCTAAATGAACGTTAGTAAAACCTAATTTATTATTACGAGATAAAGTTAACATAAAATCTCATTGTTTGTCAAAGTTTTTGTTCTAAAAATTCGAAATAATGAATTTTTTTACTTTTGTTGATGCTGTATATTATTTAACAAAGCTTATCGAAAACAAGGTAAAAAAAATTGTAAAAAAAAAAATAAAAAGAGAGAATTAAACGATGTTAGAGACGAATTTTCGAAGGGATGACTCGAGCAATAGCGAGATTTAATTACCATACCAATGGTTGCGAATTGATGAAAAAAAATTCTGGTTGTGCAGAAAAGATTATTTTTGTAGTTTTACACAGTTATGAAAGTGCACTCATTTTTGTACTGCGATTTATGATATGCAGATGATTTTGTTCTCCGATGAAAATCGAGTCAGAATGTTGATGATAAAGGAACAGAATGAAAACACTTTTAACCATATATATTTTCTTATGACTTATAAAAAAAAAAGAAACTGAGCAAAGTTTTGCGCTTGTACGATTTTAGAATATTACAAATACATGGTGCAGTTGTATCTTATCGTTTAAAAGATGACTTGACACATATTTAATGAAATTCATTTGAATGACAGTTTGAATTTTACAAACGTTTCGCATGTAAATAATCGATCACGAGCGATCGTATCGACGACAACCATTTTTTTTCAGCTTGCTGGATGGGCTCTAGCTAAATATAATAAAAAAAATTTTTTTCGTTCATTGTTATGCTGTTTTACAAAAGGAAAAAAAAATACCTTCAAAAATATTTTCAGTTTTGTATATAAATATTTATATAAAAATCTGTATGTAGAGAACTATATTTCCTGTAACCTTCCGAAGTTTCATTAAATTTACATCTTTTTACTCAACAATATGAATCGAATTATTTTCCCATACAATTTATAAATCAAACAAATGTGTGCACGTCTCATGAGAACGCGCGCATGGCGTCGCAAAAGCGCGTCTTTCGAAACCTGGCGCGCCGAGCCGTTGCAGCTCGTCCGTGGCGAGGCGAAAATACACAAAAAAAGTGTAGCACAATGATAGACGAAAAAAAGATTTGTTTTAAACATACATCCGACAAGTTAAGCGCAAATTATACAACAATGTCTTATCGCTGCTCTCGAGGTATGTAGCTCACTTACAAGCACGCAAACTCGCGTGTAATAAAATCGATAGATAAGCTCTCTCGTTCTATGTAAGAGCGTGAAAGAAAAATCGAAGCGGAGCAGTGCGGTGATGGCAGCAATGCGCGATCATCATCGTTTAAAGTGTACATACGTCTGGCCAACGATGCATTGTTTTTTCACGTAAATTAAAATATTATTATGCGCTCCGATTGCCACCGCCACCGCCGTCATCGTCGTCGTCTTTAAACGTTTTTCACTTTCTCTCGTTCTCTCTCGCCGCCGCAGCAGCTGCGAGCTTGCAACGTCGACTGCAATCTATATCTCATTTTCAATTCACATTTCGCGCACATACGTATACGCGCAATAATCTCTTTGTGTTGCAGTGCCAGTAGTGCTCGTGTGTCTTTTCTCTCTCGTTTTAAAAGACACTCAATATATACCCTGCGCGAGATAAGCTCTGCAGCAGCACGACGATGTGCCGCCGCTGCGGACGCGGAAGATCTCGGGCCGTTCCGTCGTCGCGTGCAGCCAGTTGCAGTAGCCGTTTTTCCTCGCTCGTATAATTGATCATTCGGAGCTCGAGGCGTGAATCGTTCAAAATTTTCGAAAGCATCGTTTTTATCGCTGCAAAAGGCGCGAGAGAGAGAGCATAATTATGTCCTCGCGTCACGATTGAATGCGAGCATCGCGGTCATCGCGCGCTTGGAATTTCGTCGAAAAAGTGAAATCTTTTATCGTGACCACTCAGGTGTGTGCCGTATATGTGTCCGTGTATGTGTGCGGCTCGCTTATAATAGCCGATTACGCGACACGATATACATAATAATTAATATATAGATATATAGTTATCGTGCATTCTAAAAGACCAACGATTATGTTGCTGTGCAAATTGTCGTTGCGCAAACTCGCGCGCCGGCTATTGTGGCCCAATACTGGCGCGAGCGCAACAACCACCACCACCAGCAACAGCATCACTGCCGGAGGAGGCAGCAACAAGTCTTTGGCAAGTCCTTCCTGCGATCATCATCATCGGCATCATGGTTTGACATCGTCGTCGTCGTCGTCGCTGTCCGCGTCGTCTGCCGTTTCGTCGTCGTTGGTTACAGTTGTACATCAACGCGGCGGCGGCATCGTCAGCAGCATCATGCAGCGTTTCAATAATCATCAGAGGTGCAACGACAGCGGCAGCAGCCGCCGCAGCAGTCGTTCCTCGTCCGCCGCCTCCGCATCGCCGGATCTCTTACCGGTCGTCTTGCTCAGCGCGCTCGCAATACCGTTATCAATGCTCTTCTGGACTATCAATGTCGCTTACAACTTCGTCTCGCCCAACAGCGCCGAGCGAGAACAAAAAGACGGTGAGTTACAATATATTTACAAGCGGATACAATGCAAAGTTGCGATCGTTGTTGCTGCACTCTTGCCCTTTCATCGATCGAGTTCATCCCATTCGCTATTACTGACATAACCTAACGCCCCGCGTTTGTTTTTCTGACACTTCGATCAGCATTTTTTAAACCACTTTCAAACGTCTGCAGTGGAAAGTAATTTCATGCCGATGAATCAATACGTCTAAGTAATCGATATCATTAACGAGTTAATTAATTTATGACAGATTATGCCGTTATATCGCCCTGGAGATGGCTAGCAGCTGTACTAATTCCAATTCTCTGTGCTCTTTGGGGCTTGAAGAGAAAAAGCATCGATTTGAAAGGATCAATTCTAGGTAGATTTTTAATTTTTATAATAATATTATTAATGCTATCAAAGTTCATTTAATGATTTTTGGGATCATTTTCAAACAGGTTTTTTTATGGGATTCATCTTGACCCTGACTAGTTTTTCACATTTGGCCTGTCTGATGGCATTCTTTTTCACTTCATCTAAGGTTTCAAAGTTTCGATTGGAAAGGAAGAAAACTATTGAAGAACTCAAAAATGGAGGTCAAAGAAATTGGATTCAAGTATTATGCAATGGAGGCATGGCAGCACAGCTGGCAATTTTATACTTACTAGATGTTGGGTGTGGTGAACGACCAATTGACTTTGTTAAAGATTACAGAAGTTCATGGCTCTCGATTGGAATAATGGGTAAATCACATGCTTTTTTTTTCTACTCAATCAATTATTGGTTCCATACATATTAAATTATTGGTCTATTGACAGGATCAATGGCTTGTTGTAATGGCGATACATGGGCATCAGAAATTGGCACAGTTGTTGGAAAATCAGATCCTTTTTTAATTACAAGCAGAAAAAGAGTTCCTAGAGGTAAAATTTACCATTTATAAAATTTATCATATTCTGTGAGCTGAAGTAACATATATTCTGGTTCTAGGAACTAATGGTGGTATATCTTGGCTCGGACTTTTAGTTTCTGCGTTAGGTGGTCTAGTTGTAGGACTATTTCACTATGTAACTGTAAGATATACTGTAGATACTGCTGTTTTAGAAAGAGCTGCTCCTCAATGGCCTATCATAATAATGGGTATGGCTGGAGGATTAATAGGAAGTATTATAGATTCAATATTAGGAGCAACATTGCAATACTCAGGTAAATTATATATTATTTATATATAATGAATTTTAAATCATTCAAAACTAAAAAAATAAAAATAATAAAACTAATAATAAATTGTTGGTTACAGGTATCAATGAAAAAGGTATAGTTGTAGAAAGACCTGGTAAAGGTGTAAAACATATAAGTGGCAGACAAATTTTGGATAACCATAGTGTAAATCTTTTATCAAGCATAATCATTGCCTTAACTTTACCTAGGATAGCTAATTTAGTGTGGCCTTAATATGATATTAGACTTGAATTTATCTATGGGTAAATCAAATTAACTTAATAGCATTTATTATATTATCAGATATATAGTGAAATATCAAATTATTTTGAACTATTTATAGGAGATTGAAAATACTCTTGCATTGGAGTCTAATGTAATAACTTTTTCATAAATACTTTTTTTACTTGTATGTTATATAATACACAAATGTGGTGAAAGAAAAATATGCCTGAAATTGTAAATGAAAGTTTAAATTTTCAAAGTATGCATAGTTAGTATATGTCTAGTGCACATTTAGCTGCACATTTAATTTGTATAGATGACTTTTATACTATATTTTGTATATATTATGAACCTATTTTTGTAATAAAACTCTGATAATCATATTATGAAACTGAATAGTTGATAAGTTCTATAAAAAAGTCAGGTCTAGATGTGATAAAATGGTAATATTCAACTGAAACGTTCTACAATCGGATAAATTATGTTTGAATATCAAGGCTGAAAGTAAATGAATTTATAAAATTATTAAGTACCAAAAATTAGCAAGAAATATGAATTTTCACTTGCGAAAAAATATTTGTTATGTAATATATATTTTATACTCCAACTATAACAATACACCAAAATTAGGACATTCAATCACACGTTTGAATTTGTGAACAAAATAATACTTTGTCAAGTTGAAGTTTTACAAAAACTCATTCAAATAAAATACTAATTAGATTACTAAAAAAAATTGCGTTTCATTTTGGATTCATTTAAAAATTAAGAATTTAAGTACTTCGTGTTAATGGAAACAAATACATTTGATAAAATTTTTTATTAACATGTTCTTTACATATTTATTACCTATACTGTTTGTTATTATTTTTGTATACAAAGACTGTTAAATTATTTACAGAATTCGTGTCAACTGTGTACAGTACAGGAGTATGTTTGGGATCATAAATATTTTTCTCTCAAGTTTTACATGTAGTATCGATTTTGAGAAATTTACAACCTTACTTCCTAATTCGATCGACGAAATATTTATTTTTTTGATAAAATAGACGAAACATTTCTCATAAATCTTTTATAATTTATTAAATATTCTTTTTTAATTTCGTTGACTACGAGACTGTTGAAAGTTAAAAATTATAAAACTAGAAACTTAACAATTTAATGAATTTTCATATTCGGTTTTATTCTATATATTTATTATTATTCAAATAAAATGTAAGTACTCATTAACAATTGTTTTATCAAATTCAATATTATACAGCTTACCATGGACAGAAGTAAGTTAGTAATTTAAATATTTAATGCCTTAACTTTAAACGCAAAAATAATTCAGTATTGAAGTTGTTAAAAAGTGCAATACCAAAAAATACTGTACAATGTTATTTACACATCTCATGGTAGATTCTTGTTTTTTTTTTAATTTTTAGACATTCGTAGGCCATGAAAATAAATAACGCTTATTGTTCAATTATATAGTTTCAATGAATATGAAAAGATTACTTTACAATATATATATATTAAATTTTTTCTACTTTCATTCGCAAAACTTAAGCTGAAGGTTAGGCATAGTAAACTATGATTAAATTAACAATGATTATCATCTCAACGATTTGTTAAACATTCTCACATGACGTATAAAACTGTTAAAAATATTAATAATTCATCGAACGTGCATCCGAAAAAATAACAGTACCAGCAATGAATATGTATTGGGATGTCTCTTAGTGATATGATTCTGAAATTTGATTAACGTTTTCTCCGATTCATATTTCAAACTGGCATATTCATCATTACATCAATGCACGGGTACATTACATTTTGAACATCGATGATTTTTGTTATACAGTTAGATTGTATCCGTTACGTAGTAGACAATTAACAGTGCGTAGATTTTTTATTTTATTAGACTCCTTTTGATTGTTAAACAACTAAATTATTTTAAGATGTTTCAGGGACTCGATGCTGGTATTCACTTTTTTTTGTTGGACAAATCACAATGCACTTGCAGAATAAATGTGCAGCAGGTTTAATTAAAATTTTAAGCTCAAAAATCAATTTTTCCAGGAACGCCTCTCGTATATATATTGGATTATGTCTGCAGCAGTAATGAATTACAAAAATTCTACAGTATCACAATATATATATATGTATAATATATTTGCCTATTAAAATATTCATCGTAGTAACTTTTTTACATAATTTCATGCTTTATTAGATAGACATTGTTTAACAAAGTTACATAATTCTATATACAAGACTGTCTTTTTTCAAATTAGATAAATCGTTGCTTGATTCGATTATTTCTATTTTTAAAATCAATTTATTTAAAAGAAAGCGCTTAGAAAGAAGCACAGGAAAAAATTGTCTCCATTTTTTAATTATAATTTTACATAAAATAATCAAGCTCTTGGAGTAATGACGTTTACATTGGAGAGATAAGTGACAGTCTAATGTATATGGCGCTTTCTTTTTGAAATTAAATGACAAAAATTTGTTTTTGAAAGTATGAAAAAATTGTTTCTGATGTTATAGATAAAGGCCGAATTATAATCAAGTTCATCAAGTTCAATCTAATGATTCGTCATCAAAAAATTTACAGAGATTGCTTATGATATTAAACAAAGATAAATAAGTTTTTCATGCCATCAAAAAAAATGTCCTTGATCATTTAATTCCACAGAAAATCGATCATATGTTGAATGGATACTAATACATATTGAATGTCTTTTTAACACCGTCTCAATACAATTGTATACATAAATCCATCTTAATCTCTTAACATTCGAATATCATTCCCATTTTTTTTATATCAATATTTTATAGAAAAACACGACGATTATTTTATACAATATGATACAATGTGACATCGGCGCTCGTTCACGCATTGACAAAATAGCAAAAAATAAATGCAAATATCTCGGTGGAAAAGCGCGTGTTTGTGTGACGAGCGTCACTCTCTTTTTGTCTACGTTAACGCGACAACTGTGCAGGCAGCTGCAGGCGGTGCTCGAAAATTCGTCGGTCCTTGGCTGGCTCGCCGTGATCGTTGCTCGTCGTTCCATTGGGCATAATCGCATGGGGCGGTTCCTCCTCATCGGTGCCTCTTTGCTCCTGTGGTCGCAGTTGTTCCTGTTGTTGTTTCTCCTGCTGCTGCTGCTGCTGTTCCTGATTGTGATTAGCGTTTCTTTTGGAAGAGACCAGCTGGTCGTCGCTGAGGTCCGGTCCCAATGGAGCCGACTGATAGTCATACCTTCTCCTCTCCCGCCAGCGGACCTGCGGTCGAGCGGACAAACTGCAACAGTCGTAACATCCCCAACAATGGACTCGACTCAGACGGCTGGCCATTGGCCCGATGCGTACGATTTTTTAACTTTTTTTCATATTGCAATTTACTTTTTTTCTATACAAGCCAGAGGGTGGTGTATAATGATGCAAGGGCAACTACCTGAATTGTGCTGCACTCGTTGTAATATCAAACCTCTCGAAAAATTACGGTGCAAAATAACCAACAAATGGTTTAAAATAATAATGATGAAATATTTACGCTATAATAAAGTGATTTTTAATCTACGAGTTTTTTTTCTTTTATTTTTAAGACACGTTCGCATCGTACCATTGACGAGTCGCGCAGCGACATCGATGATTTAAAACAAATCTTATGCCAATAATAATTATAAAAATAAATCAATAACAGCTATGATAATATAAAAAAACGAGTGCATTTTTAAAGATATTTGAGTAAAACTTGCCGGCATTATAAAGCAATATATATTACTTGATCTGGTGCAGTTTTGTTAATTAATTGTAGCGAAGCTGTTTGCTAAAATTTTCGATTAGTTATATATAAAAATAAAATAACAGTGATTAAAAAGCAATATAGAGTGCGATTGAATGAATAAAATGTTTATGTTCAAGTGGCCTGAAAAATTTAAATGGTTTTAATGAAAAAATGTTTAATTTTGCTTTTGAAGTGATATTCTTTTTCGACATTTATTGTACGTGACGTTATTTTCTGTTATACATTTGTATACACATTATGAAATTGGAGAATTTACCTGTACTGAAATAAAAGCTTATTCTCAAACACCAAAGGGAAACCAACGAATCAAGAATTTCAATTATAAGCATTTATCGAGTACTTTTTTCAATTAAAAAAATATTAAATAAATAACTTTGGCAATATCGAGTTGCCACTATCCCTGCAAATTTAAAACAGCCCATTGGTAAATGTATAAATGAAATTTTCAATGAGGTGCAATACAGTAAAGCCCTTTTATAAGCTCGCTGTGATAATTCGTCGGAAGAAGAAGAAGAAGTAGAAGAAGTAGCAGTAGAAGCAGTAGTAGCTATTGTGTACAGTGTTCGGTACGTGTCAAAAGTGAGCAAGAAGAGTTGGCATCATGCGGTAACGGAGTGGCCAAAAGCGACAAACGCTCTAACTAAAAAAAGCCAAAAAATGAAACAAACCAGTATAGTTAAGCAAAAGTAGCAGAATAGATAGTAGTTATTATGAAAGTAACAAATGTATTGAGATGATAATAAAGCGTGATTTAGTTTGCAGCAAAGAGTACGCATAAAGTCTAATTTTTTTCTTCATTGCGCATTAGGAGGTTCCGTATATCCGGGTGCCTCTTATCACGCAAAGAAGTCCGAAAATCAGTTCAGTAAGCGTAGGTAAATAGTTGTCCAAAGGAGAGATAGTAGAAGTTGGTCAATGTGAAAGTTACAAGATGTTCAAAATTTTCTATATGCTCACACAGCGCCTCTTGATAATCTACCAAAACCAAACTCAAACAGTTATCGATTGCTCACCCTTGATTATCATGAGCGAGCGAACTTTTTTTTCTTTCTCTCTCAGTTTTGTAATATGATACATTTATGAGTACGTCTTTTAGATCGCTTTAACCACCTTGGCCAACTAATTCAGTTCTCTCCTATTATTGATTTCTAAAAAAAAAAACTTAACAATATGATAATCGATCGATTGAACAAATTTTACCGATACTGTCGTCGCCGTGCAAGAATTGGCGCGCTTCCTCGCGAACGCCGTACCTTCCCATTTCCGCTTGAACTGCTGTATCACCTGTAACGCGAAGCAAAAAAAAAAGTATCAATCAATTATATCGTACGCAGCTGCTCGCGATTACAAGTTTTTTCATTAAACTTCGAGCGAAATGTAAATTCGCATTAAAGGGCACTTTATTTTTTACCCATTGCTCGGGGTAAGTGTAAACTTACCTCGCCGTTACAGAAACAGAAGAGCACGGACACGCAGAGACCCTGTAAAAAAAAGTTAGACAAGTTTTGAAATTAAATGGGATTTTCAAAAACCCTCTTGACTTTGTAATCGGGCGCAAGAAGTTTGTTAAATAAAATAAAGAACAAGTCCACGTAACATTGATATTTATAATTTATAACGAGGCCTCGCGCGCTAATGGTTTTTAATTATTTCTGGGTTACTGCGTTTAAACCCCATTTGCATATTCGCTTTAATTGAACGATTTCGCGGCGAGCCAGGATTCTCTCTCTCTCTCTCTTTTCCTTTTTTTTTTACTTTCAAACGAGAAAGAAGGAATGTGTGATTAGTTTAAAACTTTTTTCGTCGCTTTCCGCGGCTTAATTTGAATTCTCTTGGAAATCTCTCGACCTGCTTTTGCAGCTCATCAAAAGGATAAAAAAATAGGGAGAAGAAATCTAGACTCTTTATAGGTACGAAAAGTTAAGTCGATATCGGAGCAACCTCTTAAAAGTTTCCTCTATGTATAAAGTCCCAGTAAATCTGGTTAGTTATAAATGCGCACTCTCGTACCTGTTAATCGCATTTATCATTGAACTCATTGGATATATTCGTCAATTGAATAAGTGATGGATTTTTAATTAAACGATGGGCGGCGCGATAGATCTTACCTGGAACGAGGCTGTTATGGCCGATATGACACTGTAAAACTTTTCCCAGCTGGCACCTTTCTCCGGCCTCAGCGGTACCACCAAATAATGCAGACCCAGCAGCGGCACCAGCAGAAACGTTGCTCTGTAAGAACCAAATGATTTAACGATCGGGAGAATGTCGGGTCTTTGAAAATGTTTCATTTATACCAATCGAAAATTTTTTTTGCAACTTGCGAGTTTACAATGCTCCATCTGTTGATGCATTTTGAAAGCTCTATATGTGAGGAGCTAGTGGCCATTGAAACTCTTATGAACTATAGCTCCCCTACCAAACGTCCCATCGCGTCAAAGAACGAAAATGTCAATTGTGAAACTCACTTGAAGGCTTGAAGAATGGCCCTCGGCGGCTGCGACTGTCCGATAGACGGGCCCGATCTCAGCTTCAGCACCACCACGCGCACGATGTTGCAGAGAAAGAGCAGATTGAAGGCCATGGACACGCAGACAGGATACATGAGCACGACCATGTAATTACCCTCGTGTATGTAGCACCTATAATAACAATAATAATATAATTACATCGACTCGTTAAAATCGTACAAAACAGCGCATATCGTGACAGAAACATAGGTATCGGCGCGCCTGCACCGAACGTGGTATACGGAATTAAGAGAATCGATCGCGACCCACACACCCGAGCGTATACCTGTAAACATTTAAATCGAGCTTCGATTTCGAAGTTATAAATGAATATCGACTGCAAAAGTGCGTACGTTGCATACGTTGGCTCGGCTATAACATGTATACTTGCACGCATGCACCGTGATATATAAGGCAGAGCTTCCGCAGCTCGACCCGCGCGCATATAGCAATTTATATAACTCGAGCTCGCGCGCGCTAGCTCATTCGATTTCCAATGTCCATTAGGCCTGATGCCTTTCTGAGGTTCGGAGCGCGTGCATCAGCAGCAGCAGCAGCAGCAGCAGTGTTGTATCGGTGCTTTGTGCGTGCCGTTCCCAATTGCGCTCGAGCTTAATATACATGTTATATATACACCGATATTGCGCTGCTCTTCGTACCTACAGTGCGTAGGTGTGCTGCTGCTGCTGCATGCGTATCGTATAGGAAGCAGTGTAGCGATGGACTCGACGAGTAACTTGATTTTCTCGGCTAGAGCAACTGTGCGTTACACGCGCGTATGCACGAGCACTCACACACGCGAACTCTCATCTCGTTAAATTGTTTCCGTTTATTTTGTTTTTTACGCCCTTCGCTCGACTTCTCTATTACGTTACGGAATCCTTTTATCGGCGTGAAAGCTGCACGCGTTTCAGAGGCACGCGCTCGGGAGGTGGAAAAAAAAAGTGGAAATGCAAAAGGATCCATTACTGCTTGCTGTCGGCCGGATCGAGGCTGTTGGACCTGAGCGACGTGTAAATGACAATGATGACGGCGGGCACGGACCAGCCGAGGGCCATGAGCCACTTGACGAGGCGTCGATCGCTCGTGAAGGCCGACACGAGGATCGTGTGCAGATAGAAGCCCTCGCACAGCATCCACGCGTAGTTCGTCAGCAGGAAGTAGTGCAGTATCACGTGCAGGATGCGACACATTATCTGCGGCGAAAGCAAAAGAGATCGGCGTTATAGCAGCAGAGGACGCCGCCTCCGCGTCTGACTCGTGACTGACTGCGCTACTTGCAATCGAGCCGATGTATTACACAATAAGTTATGTACTCACGCTGTTGTTGAAGAGAAGCTCGGTATTGACGACGGAGCCGTACCAGATGAGCCACAGGGCGTTGTTCATAGCGAACGAGGCGAACAGGTTCATGTGCAGAGTGATGCGGGCGCATCTCAGAGAGCTACGATTGTCGATAAATAATTATTTTTAACTTTTCAATTTGCAATGTAAAACGTCGATTCAATTCAATTAATTGTCAATTTTTCAATTGAATTTAAATTTAAACATTTCTCAAGTTTTATAAATGAATCGTAGTATACGGGTACTTTTTTTCGTAACGTAATCAATTCTTCTCAGAGTCTCTATCTCTTTAACGTAATCAACTCAATTTAATAAAAAATAATGCTTATGTTTATTTGCGTTATAAATTGAATTTAACTTTCGTTTACAACGACACAATTAAATTGTACCAAATGCGTTCTTGAACTTATTGTTATAGAACAGATGTACAGGGCCTCGATTGTGAGCTCATCGAGCATATTGGCTCGCTGTGAGGTGGCAAAAGGCCGCATACAGGTCGAGTTCGGAAGCAGACGCGAAAACCTGCTGGTTGGCAATGCCTAGCGACCAGCAGCGTCTTTTATTAAGATTGTTATTTCAGGTTGCCAAGCAGTTGGAGCGACGCAGCGAGGTCATTCTCTTGGTAACGCGCGGACGGCACGGAGCGCAGCATCTCAGCTTTTTTGAACGAATAAATCGGCATCGCCTCATATAACTTCGCTTTGGTGTTTATTTTCTCTTATCACTTAAGGACTCATAAAAGCCTCATACGCGCAGCAACACTTACAAAATTACTTCGACTTTGTCACTTGCAGATTTATAGATAAAGGTACTCGCCATCTAGTGGTAGAGGTTGACTTCAATTATGATCGAGTATTCATGAATGTTTTGAGCAATTTCAATCGAAAGATTGAAATTTAGGTATAGAATGAAATCGTTTTTATTTGTAATTCATGCATTCTTTGTGTAGTTTATCTTTATAGAATAAATCAAAACTGATATTTTAACTTTTATCGAAGATTTCATCAAAATTTACACGGAGGTAACGATTGATGGGCTGCCTCACTACGGTCGTGGTGTAGAGCCACTCATGTGATACTGCGTAGCCCCGCTACAAAATTGTGTGTTTGTTTCTCAAAAATTGCGTTAGACATGCTCAATATAGATGAGGATTAGATATACTCAGTGCATTTTGGGGGATGTGTTTATGCCTGTCTCACACAATAATGTGTAGCTCGCTCACAAAAATTTCGTATAGTAGCGACCCGGCAATTTGTATTTCTACCACCAGGCGCCGTGTGGTGTACTCGCAATTGTAATCTCAGTGTATCTTTCATAAAATACAATTTCGGTTCCTTCAATATGTTTTTATGTTTCAATGTTTTTACAATTGTTAAAATCTGAATTAAAATCATGTATTTTTTTAACAGCGTTCTGCCAACATTGTACGAATCATTCAGCAACCTGCTGTCCGCGTGCGGCTCCATGAGACTTTCACGACATCTTATTAACGGGAATATTTTCCGAATATTTTAACTCTCTGGCTGTTGCGCAAGCTAAAAACAGAGAGAGATAGAGAGAGAGAAAGCTCGGAGAGAAAATGAAAGAATAGCTTGCGCAGATAAACTTTAATAGCCGAGCACAATAATAAGCGCGCGCGCGCACGCTGCATTCGTACTTAAACTGCTATTGTATACAGATATATAATGCGTTCGTCGAGCTATGCAGCTACCGCGATATCCGCTCACAGCGGTATGCCGTATAACGAAGCAAGGATGACATAATCCGCATCTTCATCTTGAAAATTTTCAACTATATCTACGTACAAGACATAAAATTTTCTCTTCTCTTTCTCTCTCTTATGAATATTTTACGCATTGCGTGTATATAATATCGTTCGCGTTTAATGCACACACATTTATATATTCTCAAATGCCGCGTGTCACGATGTCCTGCAGCAGACACGCCTGGAACTGCGTGTACTCGCGTGATAGTGGGCTTTACACAATATTATATTATATTGTATAAGTTAAAAAGCTTACCGAAAGTACGTGAGGATTCCCAGGGATAAGAGCAGCGCCACCAGTGATATCGAGTAGCCGGTCTCGTACAGTCGATTCAGGTGCTGCTGCCACTGAAATCAATGCGTGCGCCACAAAATTACCATCTTTCCTCGACACTACCTGTATCGTAATAAAACGAAGATGAAATTGCACAACGTTATTTTATTCTATGCTCCGACCTTTAACGTTAGTTTTATTTCGCATTAAAATGTGAATTTACAAATTTGCTCCCCCATAAGGATGATGGATAACAAAGTCTCGAGCTTGCGGCCTTTTCATTCTTGAAATATTCGTCTATAATACGTACCTATAGAGATTGCATTAAGGCGCTCGACAATTTTTTTTTTCTCCCCTTTTCGCCCGTTTCTAATCGATGTAACACGACGGTATAACACACACACACACACACACACACACACACACACACACACACACACACACACACACACACACACACGCACACTTGTGCATACGTGAGTGTGTACGTATGTACACGCGCGAGTACATAATAGCAGCTGGCGCTGTTTATTATGCAGCTTATGATTTATCAAGCTGCCGTCGCTGCAATTTGAGGCAATTAACGTCGCATACTTGCCAAACACATACACACACCCTATATGCAATGCAATGCAATGACGCGCTCTCATGCTATGTGCCCCGCTGCTGTTGCTGCTGCTGTTACACGACGTTAAACGAGTGCAACGCAATAATGAAAAGGGACGCGTATAATTTTATATTCGCTAAACCACAATGTGCACGCTCACATACGTATTATATTTATAATAGCTTAAAAAACTCGACGATCGTGAAAATTCTTTGCCACGTGGGCGACTGCGTAACGAAATGCGCGTGCAGACCACAATCGCGCGCCTGGATTTGAGAAAATTGCCCTTTGAAAATGCATTTGTAATACGTTACAACGCGCACAGTAGTAAGCGAGCGCGCGAATGCACTGCAATGTGGCACAATTAAGTGAGGTATAGCATACTGCAGTAGCAGCAGCAGTGACATTCGAAAGGGCGGAGTTCGCTGCCGAGCGCGCTTTACTGCAATTCGAAAATGTTAATTTAGCGAATACGCGGAAGCTGTGTGTATGTATAGCGACGAAGTTCGAGCGCGATTTTCGACTTTAGCTATGGCAATTGTCAACGTTTTACGAGTGAGTAATTAGCCCCCGCGTGCGTATGTAACGACTTGGAGTATACAGAGAGATACGTCGCGGTATAGGAAGGGCAATTACACTACCCATCGTCAGCTACAATTAGTTGCTCGTGTTTCGGTATAGTTATTATTTTTTTTTTCCGCATACAATGTATTTTCAAATTACAATACGAATATTCTTCTCGTGAATGCTTTGTTTTCGCGATGACAATTAAACTAGTTCGAGCTGTTTCGCAATATGACTGCCGTAACATCTTAAAAAAAAATATGAGCCTCGAGTGCCTCAAGGAATTAAGATATTGAAGCACTGCACTTGACTTTTCGCGTTAAGGTGAGAAACCGACCTATCGGAAGAGACGAACCGTGCGTGAAGCAGAGAAAATCCCTCGGGAGCCATCACACTTGGCGCCATAAATCGGAATCGACCAAGTCTTTCCCCGCCTTGACACTCGCGTGTCTTGAATAATCGCGCGCTCGCCCTTTATCTGATTCTTGACGTATTCTGGATAATTTTTACGTCTACCCTCTTACTTCAGTCATCATTATTAAACGACTTTTATTATTAATAAAAATTCTTGAAAATATTATTGGTTGCAATTAAAAAAAATATTGATAAAAGCTAATAAAAATAATATAATTTTTAAAGATAATCGTTGTCTTCAATCTAGTTGTACAGTTTCCTCGTAAACTTGTAAAATTAATGTTTTATTTTAAATATTTACCTCTAGATCAACGAGATTCACGCAGGTCGTGTAGTTGCTCCATGGTTGCTTCGATTCGGGATGCAGGAACCACGTGCCGTCAGGCATGCACTGCTTGTGTCCCACCACTGAAAATGAAATGAAATCATATAAATTTCATCTGCACTCGACCCCGGTTCATAATTTAAAAAATGTTTAAAAAAAAACCAATTGAGAAAGCGAGCGAGGCGTATATTTTAAGGTTTCAATTCCAAAGTCTTCCTAAACGGAAATGAACAGTTCGAGCGAAACGGAATATGATTTTAATTTGATTAAAATATTTCATTAAACGCGGTGAACCTGCTAAATGCGTGTAGAACGGTACATATAGCGACTTCGACTAGGTATAACATACTTTATGCGTTGAAAAATAGAAAACTTCGTTAGTCGACGGGGATCGTTTTGTTAAATCATCATCGAAAATTTATATTCATTAGATGATAAATGTTATTTCAATTTCGGTTTGCCATCGCGCGCATAATATTTGCGCTAATTATCAAAGTTCCGACTAGTTAATAATATATCCTCGGGTCGAAACGTCGTCGCACATATAGCCGAAGCTCAAATATTTTTGAGACTTTTTGGAATATGTATTTATAAACCTTCGACGAGCTGCTCCACTCTGTTTATATTGTGTATACATCTATATTATAATAGCGTGAGTTGGTATCTTCTGACGTTGCGAGTTGCAGCAAGAGCGTTGACCGACACTATTCTCGGTAGATCTAACATCGAACATCGAGTAAACAAAACGCAGTCCGTTAACGAAAACGGAACTAGTGAAATGGAAAATAGCTCGATTTTGCTCGTACGAAAAAAAAAAAAAAAAAAAAGAAATGATCTTGTTATCGGTGCTGTAAGGAAATCCATTCTATCCAATAAATTTTTGCTGTAACGTGCGTAAGACTGCTTCGAGACATCTGTCTGGGATCGCGACTATTGTTTTTCACGCGCGCGTGTGTGTAAGTGGTGCATTAGAGAACAATTTATAGCCTGTTTTCGCAGCTAACGGATCGTGCGATCGCTATGTATAAAAAACCAAATTTATCCATTACCATAAATTATCACTCGCTCCAAAAGTTATACGCCTTCGAGTCGCTCACAGATAACTCCAAACTATTGTAAGAAAAAGCAACAACGAAAAAAAAAGGATAAGCGTAGAGAAAAGTGTGTAAGCCACAGTCGTCGTCGTCGCGACGGAAGAGAGAGCTTTGTACATCGCGTACTTCACGGTACTACTCTTCGACATTGTTTACCTGCGAATGCTAAAGTGAAATATAAAGAAGTCGTGAAGACGCGAGCTCTTTACGAGTCTCTGCCCCCCCACGAGTATCTGTGCCGTACTATCTGGCGCACTGATATATGGCAGTAGCAGCTCCGGCGTAGGTATATACATATAGCTGGTAAGCTGACAGCGCAGCTCGTGTGTGCAGTTACACGTACACCTGCGCATTAAACATCGTGCGGAGAGAGAGCGAGAAGCTTTTTACGAAGCTCGCTTCGTATGAGCATTATCACGAAAGCATTATGGGAAGCTGCTAAAGCCCGGCAGGTGTGTCGAAAACATTACTCGCTCGCGAACACTGCGGTTAGAAGCTATCGTATATTCATGCGAGCAGCTCGACTCTTTACTTGATGATTTTTTTACGCGTTATGCACTTTTAAGGTTTGAATTGATGAGCCAACGCGGGTTTGAAAATATGTACAGAACGTGTCCAGTCGCGATCACAAAAGGCGCAAAGATTGCGGCCAGCGCCATCCTGTGTAGCTGCGAGAGCTATATGCAATTCCACGAGCGTCGAATGGATATACAATTACTACGGCACGAAGAAAAAAGAGAGAATGGCAAAGATCGTACATGCAGATTTACTCGATATATACGTTGAAGAGAGCTGGAGCAGCAAGAGGATAAAAGGCAAGAAAATCGTATGGGTGTGTGGGTGTGGCGTGCGCGGCATGAATTTTCACGCGTGGCAAGAAGAGAGAGAGAGAGAGAGAGAGACGTGCAAAAACTCGCTTTTATTGCCCTTATGTATAGGGTCAAGCCGGGTATGGCTCGGCGCGCGCGAGCTCGCTATAAATTACGTTTCTAGAGAGTGAGATCCGTATGTGTACGTGGTCGCGTCTGCGGCCGCATAGTATAGTCGCGCGCGCGTTGCACTAGTAATAGTAGTAGCCTAGCTAGTCGTGGTAGTGGTGGTGGCAGCAACTCTCTCTCTTCTTTCTCAGTCGCGTCCGAGGCAGCTTGAAATTTATAACTCCGGAGGCTCGGATAGGGGTTTGCTCGCGTACACACGTCCTCTTTATCTATATATATCGCGCACATCCACAATCTTGCACGCGCCCGTTTTGCTTTGCCGCGCGTCCAAAGAGACTCCGGCGGCGAATGAGCCTCTGCCGCGAGCCGGAGGACGAAAAAAACAATCCATTGTTCCCCTCTCTAGCTGAAGGTAGTTTTTGAGAAAGCTCGCGCAACAGATTCAAGCCAGAGCTGTATATAATAAAAATAAAATATATTACGCGAGTCGAGCTCTCGTTGACCCAGCGTAAGCTGCTAGCGGCTGGGCAGCGTGTCGTGAACCAGTGGCAGCGGTCCGGGGTACGATAATAGATAGACTCGACGTTTGCGTTGTATAATATATATATCCTCGTCGACAATCAGCTGATGTGTGCTGCGCACAACGAGTGCTTTTTCGGGTCGAAGAGCAACACATGCAGCAGAGCTCGAGGAATTGTAGTTACTTTCTACTCTATTCATATAAGTGGAAAAAATCCGAGCACTCACACGATAGTACAACCTATAGACGCGGCAGCGAGCTTCGCTCGGCAGACTACATACATCCAATCATGGACGGGCAAAATTTTGAGTAAAAACATTTGTCTTTCATCTCGTTCCTCTGCTCTTTGCGGCTCTTTACACTCGCGCCGCTCTTTCTACGCGTATATTTATAATACAAATTGAATTGCGAGAGCGAACGAGTGCAAGCTCGGCGCGTTTTCAACGAGGCTGCAGCGCAGCGGAAAATTACTCAACGCGTAGCGGCGAGCAGGCAGCGCTAGATTGAGATTTTCTCGAAATTAAAAGAAAATCCGAGATACGCACTCGACGATTAATTTTCTCCTCGTGCGCATATACGGCTGTTATCTGCTTCGTTAAAGGTGCGTTTCCGGATTACAATTATTATTACAATGTCGCGTGCACATGCGCGCGTGTGTTGATAAAACACATCAATCGACGTACGCATTCGTAACTCCGCGCTCGATCGGTTATACGCGCCTCGACCGTTCGATCGATTGCTGCACATGGAATAGGAGAATAAACCCCCCGACAAAGCCCTGACACCGACGAGAGAGAACAAGAGGAAAATGCGCAGTGTCAGCAGAGAACGAGCGCGCGAGTCGAGATTTTGCCCTTTATACGATCGGTCATTTGTCCAAACTCTGCTTTAAGTGTGTGGGTGCGCGCTATTTCTGCTGACCTTTCGTTGCACATACTACGCTCTCTCGCTCTCTCTCTCTCTCTCTCTCGATTGGTGCCAATGCGTTACGATCGCGCGTCATTCAGAGACTTTGGATTTTGCGGGACTCGCGCAAAGCTCTCCGGCTTTGCAGGTAAATACGCGTGCAGCGCGCCAATCGAGCACGATAATGTTTTTTTCAATCAGATCGACGATCGCGTCACGGGTAGCTTGTTGCAGCCACATCGTCCTCGTTAGCTATGTTCAATATTCTATAGCAAGGTTTTGATCAATGAAAAAGTTCTATAGGCACGAATGGACCATTAGAAGTGGACATCTATTAATCATCGTAATAACCTTTTATTTGAACATTTTATACAACGTTTCATGTTTTTATAATGAACATTTTTTGATAGTATATAATTCGTGCAGATTACCATTGAAATACACTTACAATAGTTATTTTTAGTTTTCTACATTTGAAACGTACAACCTCAGTTAAATTGAATTTGTTCATTCAAAAATAACATTTTATACAATATCCAAATAAAGATCTATTTTCTTTAATAGCATGCTTTGACTTATACACTTGCAGATTATGTATTCAAAGGTTTTCGCCATCTAGTGGTGAAGGCTTGAAGTGGTATTATTCTTTGTAGGTAGATAAAAACTGATCTAATTTTTTTTTTAATTGTCATTTATAAGTTAAGAATGCATTCAATTATTGTAAATTGATTGTTATTGTTATAGAAAAATCATTGAGAAAAAAGCCAATTAATAGTAATTCGCATTTTAAAACATTTTTGATGTTGAGCATTTTCACCAAGAGCATATTAAGCGCTTTTCAATGCACGATCTTATCAAGTCGTTTCATATTTGCGTTCCTCTTACTCAGCTCTCCCAGCAGCGAAAATCGCGTTCACTAAAAATAGCCCATAATGCAATGACGCACTTCTGTGGGAGAAAAATCCATTGTCACGTCGTCCATAATTTTCTCTCTTTTCTCCTTTCTTTTGTTAAACGGTTCGCAACAGGAATGAAAGTTTCAATTTAACCTCGTAATGCGGTTTGAAATGTTTGTAAAGGCGTTTACGCGTGTACAATCGTCGTAGCAGTCGTGATTAAGCTCGTCTCTCTTTCCCTTCACCTACGCGCACTTCCTTTGCAATTGAATTCTCTCGACGCTTATACCCACGCACAAAATAAGGCAATTGCCGCGCGCGGATGAGTAATTGCTCAGCGGCAACAAAGACCGTCTTTTTCCGTTTAGCGATTGTTCGATCACTCGTGTAATGCAGTAACTGGGCCGCGACGAGCTGGTATTACACCCAGCTGCAACGAGCTTGACCTTGTAAATTCCGATATATAAAAAAAAAGGTTTATCGAGAAAGAGAACGCTTCATCGCATGTTATGTACATAATCGTGCCCTTTTCCACGTTAATTGCCATATTTCTCAGCCCTTTTTTCATCCCTCGTTTACATCGAATCTTCTTTTTATATTGCGCGTGCTGCGTGCAAGGAACGTTCACTTTTTTTTCTACCCTCGCCATCTTTTACGATATCTCGATGAGTTTACTTTTTATGATCTGCTGCAAAGTACACTCGCAGGAAATTGAAAATCATAAAAATA